CCCTCAGGTTTGGGGGCAGCCTGAGGTCCCTCCTCAGGGGCTCCCCCTGCCCGGGGTCCGGGAGTCTCCGCGGTTTTAGCCTCCCACACCCGCCCGCAGGCCTCCGTTCTCAGCTCCTCAGCTGAGCGTCCACCGTCATCTGAGCCCGCATCTCGGGGCCCAGAGGGGAGGCTGTGGTTCCGACCCCAGAGCTTCTGCGAGAAAGAGGGCGTCCCCCCAGCTCAGGAGTCACCAGGGCGGGGGAGGGGACAGAGAGGCACGAGCACCTCTCCGCTAGGCCATGACCTTGAGACTGTGACCTTGAGGCCATGACCTTTGAGTCTGTGATCTTTGAGTTGTGACCTTGAGGCTGTGGGGAATTGGTGTCCTTCCCGGGGGGTGGGAGAATGCCCAGGTCTGAGAACCCCAGAGTCCACACATCGTCTGACCTCCCCAGCTCCTGGTTTGATGGGGGTCCCCATGAAACACCCCAATACCCACCCCTGTGTATCAGAGGCCCAACTCTGAGGGAGATGGCCCTGCCCCTGACCCGGGGTCCCAAGGTCCTGGGGTCCCGGGGCTGCGGCGACAGTGGCCCCTCCGTCCACACACACCCAGTCCAGTGCCCCGCTGCCATGCCGCTCGCCCTCACACGGAGGCCCACGGCTCCAGTCCTCCTCTGGGCACCCCTCCCCTCTGCACCCCGAGCTCAGGACCTTCCTGCCCACGCAGGGGTCTCGCCCTGCCTGCCCTCCCCTCCTCTCCCCGGGACCTTCTGTGTCCACGTCACCCCTCCCTTCCGGGCTCCCAGGTCAGAGCAGCAGGAGCAGGGAGGGGTGGCCGCGATGCTCCCAGGGACAGAAAGAGGACTAGACGGACGGAGCTGGGCCTGGAGGGCTGCGGGCCTGAGCTGTACTCAAGCTGACCCCCCACTTGGTCAATAAAAGCCATCAGAATGGAGCTCGCTCTGGTGTCAGGTCCGCGTCAGGTCTCTGCAGGGGGAGGAGGGGGGATTGGGGGGCGGCGGTCAGGAGGGAGCTGATTGGAGATTCCATGAGCGGGAGGAGCAGGGGGTCTGGGAATGGAGGGGTTTGTTCTTGTGCTACAGCAGGAAGTGGTTCTAACTGAACCCCACATCTGGGCGTGGCACTGTGGACTTTTTTCTTTTTTATTAATACATTTTTATTGATTTCAGAGAGGAAGGGAGAGAGAAACATCCACGCTGAGAGAGAATCACGGATCGGCTGCCTCCTGCACGCTCCCCTAGTAGAATCATGGATCGGCTGCCTCCCGCACGCTCCCCTAGTGGGTCCCAGCCCACAACCCAGGCATGTGCCCTGACCGGGAATCGAACCGTGACCTCCTGGTTCATGGGTTGACGCTCAACTGCTGAGCCACACCGGCCGGGCGAGGACTTTGGAATTTGAGGGGCTCGGCAAGGCCCCAGAACTCCCGGGTTGGAAAGCCCCAGCGTGAGAGGGGAACTCGGCCACGGGAACTTCCCTGTGAAATCGAGAGCTCGCTCTGCCCAGGAATGGAGGGCAGGGCCTCGCCCACGCCCAGCACTGTCGGGCCCTGCCTTCCTCCCTGCAGCCTGCTCTAGTAACACACTGCGGACGGGGTGGCCCATCAGCAACAGAAATTTATTCTTCACGGCCTGGCCTGCCTGGCTCAGTGGTTGCGCGTCGACCTAGGAACCAGGAGGTCACGGTTCGATTCCCGTCAGGGCACATGCCCGTGTTGTGGGCATGATCCCCAGTGGAGGGCGTGCAGGGGGCAGCCGGTCCATGCTTCTCATCATTAATGTTTCTATCTCTCCCTCCCTCTCCTTTCCTCTCTGAAATCAATAAAAATATAAAACAGTGAGCAGATACTTTACTAGTAATAGCAACAGGCCCCCTGAACATCACACCCCGACGGCCAGACCCAACCTTGGCCCTGGCAGACCCCCTCGCTGGCCCTGGGGTGGGACCTAAGCCTCTATGGGACCAATCAGGAGTGCAGGACTAGAGGTCTGGGCCAGGTGACTGACAGGTAAACTAGCGGGGGCAGCTCAAAGGGTCCAGCTGAATTCCAGGAAGGGCAAGGCCCCTGGGTCCAGGCCAGGCTGTGGCCCGTGGAGTCTCCAGAAGGGGTTGTGCTGGGGGAGGAG